TCCACCGTATTTGGTTTTTGTTATCTTCAATGATAGCTTTTATTTGGCCTTCCGTAAAGAAACGTGCTAAAATGTTTTTGAGGTGATTACTATTATTTTCTATGGATTTTTCTTGATTAATAGCTGTCATTTCTAGTTCTTGTATGAGTGCATTATAAACATTATTTTCATCCTTCAATGTTTCGATTTCTTTCATAAGAGAGGTTGTGTAATGTTTTAATTCTGTATTTTCTTCAAGAACTTCACCAATACATTTATTTTGTGACATTAAAATATTACCATCAATCAAAATCTTTCCAATATTACTTTTGAGTTTTTTAGTCCGTGGGCTCTGTGGAAGGTCATCCAAAAGGAGTGATTCTACGTTTATATATGATGATGATGAACATGAAGACTCTTCAGTAAATAGATTTTTTATTAAATTTTTAGTTCGTTTTACCCGAAAATTATACACATTTGTATTACTATTTTTAAAACTTAAAACAATTTTAATTTCAGTTCATACCTGGGTCTTCCCTTTAGTGGAGTTCGATTTATTCCATTTGGGTGCAGAAAACTAGTTTTTTTGGTCCAATAGAGGTGCAAGAACTAAAGGACTTGACACACCATTCCTTGGAGAGCTCATAGCATGGACAGATTGCCCGTATATTTTAATAGAACATACTTGAATTATATAGTTTATGAAACAACAATGGATTTGAATAATGAATGTTACTAACGAATCGTTTTAACTACTGTTATTCTCCAACAATGGTTGTTCTGGGGATCTAGACATTGCTGAAAGTACATTGGGAGATGACACACCATTTCTTGGAGAACTTATTAACATATTTGTGCTATCAAGGTATAAAATTAAAAACATGTATAACATATTATGCTAATAAATCATATATTTTTTTAATTAATATGTTTTTGCTTACCAATTTTTTGAATTTGTTGATGGTAAATACATTGTTGGTAAAGCATTTTGAATCAACCTTAAACGTCTGCCTGGAAGTCTTGGATAATGGGTAAAATGTGTTGCCAAAAAATGTTTACTACAAATATAACCAGAACCTGTGCAATAAATGTAGTTGGTATTTGGTAAATACCTTTTACGGAAGGTATAACGTTCTAAACACAAATATTAATTGTTATCATAGAACCATTTTAATTGTTGGTGGCTCTAATGATAACCAGTGTACAAAGTATTGATATAGTATATTTTGAAATGTACACTCACCTACTACTGGCTACTTACTAGTAGGGCCGGAATTATAAAATGTTTAAAAATGTACAAAATATGCATGGATTTATGCACTGATTATTAAATATGTGCTGTATATTGAATTTTGAACATTCACTCACCTAATCGTAGTTAAAATGCTAAAATATGCAGCATTTGATTTTGCATACCAACACATAAGGTGAACTCGTACCTATCTACTTTTTAATTTAATAAATACAAATATGCAAATGTATACAATTCCGGGCCCTACTTATTAGTTTATTATTGTTATCATATATTATTTGGTTTTATTAGTTTTGAAATATTATACATGAGCATAACAATTAAATATAAATACAAACTAAAGTAAATTATTCAACTAACTTTGTTTAGCTCCAGTTAGATACATCCATTTTTTTTTTAACAAAACAATCTGTAGGAAATTGAAAAAAAGATTCATCTGGAGTGAGTAAAATATCGTTATTGGTACACCCTAAATAAATAAATATTAATTAAAATTGTATGTCAAATAATATATTATTAGGACATAATAAAAAAAAACTTACCACTCACTAAACAGGATTTCTTGAAATATTTTTTATTCATTTTAAAATATTACAAAATACAATAAAATTGTATAGCTGCAAATATTTAGTATGCAATATGCATTTGTACAGATAAAAAACCGAAGGAAAGCGTAAAAAATAAAAGTATTAAAAAAGTTTACTGAGAATTTTTGTTGAGGATTGTATTTTTCATTATCGAGGCTATGTTAATGATTTAAATAAATTTAAAAATAGAATTTAGAATCAAGATACGTGATATATGATAATATTTGATTTGCATAGCAATGGGAGGAGGTGTTAGTTACTATAATAAACATACTATTGAGTTCATATTATTATGAATAATCAAATGTATATGTGTAAAAAAATGAGTAAATTTTGTTCTTAAATAGTTAGATGTATCCTGGCCACGGCCACTGCACCGCGAATGCGGCCAGGGCCCCGTCGTTTTTTTTAAGGTCTCATAAATATTTGTATTTGCTCGATGTGTGCCTGGTCTATATAGGGAGTAAGGACCCTGTAAAGTATATTTTATGGATATATTGAACCGTACGAAATTTTTCTTTACAGGGCCCAGATGCCTGACTATTATAGTGTGAGCATATTAATACAAGTGTCGAGGTAATCTAAGTAATATAAAAATAATTTTGGTTTTCATAATTTCGTTTCTGTATAATTAATAATTATTATTTATTATTTTGTAGTTTCAAATATTTCAATAATTTCATAGCTTATTATTAAACGAATGATTCATCTCGTCAGGTTTCGAGTTAATATTATACAGAGTGATTTTTTATGCATACTCACCCTATTATTTTTACTTAAATTATACATATTATAATCAAATTTTCGGAATTTTAAATACGCTTAAAGATTTTTGAATACTTGAGATTTTTATAACATTTAAGAACGATGTTGTTACAATACAAACTACTGTTTTTATAATAGGAATACCGAATACTCTTGTTTTACATTTAATTATTCAGGAGATATTTTAAAAGGTGGTGAGCATTTTAACAAAATGTCAAGAAAATTTTGTTATTTTATAGGGCCCCTTAATAAAACTGATCCATGGGCATTTGGTGTGCCAGGCTGACACTGGATGTATCTTTAAAAGTATATGCTCTCCATAGCTCTTTTATTTTAAATAGGCATCAATAGTTTTATGTAATAACATTTGCTTTAAAAAAATTATTATTATTATGTCATTTAATTCTTTACAACGACACATAATATACCTATAGGTAAGCAGTATATTATACATCCTAATTTTTGTATGTTTACCATACACTTATAAATACATAGTGTAAAAACGTGTCCAGAAATTTCTGGATTCGTGTCTGAAAATGGATTCAATTTTTATAAGATTACTCGGTTTCAAAACTGTTTTTAATCCCTGGATAAATGTGCTACAGTGGCGGCGTGACAAGGGTTTTATGAGACCCGGGTCTTATGGCGATTTAGGTGGGTGGGTGGTAGTGGGTACTGGGTAGATGTCGTGGTGCCTTGGTGGTCATGTTTATTACTTTTCTATGGTGTCTATTATTATAAATGTACTCGACACTCGTAATTCGTAAACTATTTTGGGGGTGGGTGGTCCCTAAAAACGTTTTTGTCTCATGAATGAAAAATGTTCACGCCGCCGTGATGTGCTATATATGTATCAGTACATTTATTATATAGACAAATGCTTAGTAAATAGTCTAAATATAATTAAATAAGAAAAATGCGATAATTGATTGAATAATAAATATTTTATTCGTATGAATAATTTAAATTTTAAGATTTTATAAAAGAAACATAAAAATAGTGCAACAACATATTAATAATAACAATATTAAATGCAATTATAATATTTACAGAAAAAAAAATAATAAATTAAAAACATTAAATGCAATTACAGGATACAAATATTATATTAAGATAAAAAATATAATTTAAATTTGCCGCACAAAATTACTCGTATTTCATTGGTTCCACTTTATGCTGGTCGTGCGCATTAGATAGTGTTGCGATAGTTAATAACAATCGCGATTTCGATAGAGAAGTGGCACTACCATGTATTATAATTACCTTGGGTACAACTTACGGTCACAATTAGAATGCATATTATGTTGTGTAGGAACTCTATTTTTTCTCAACATTTTTGTACCCTCACTGTAATTGCTAGGTAAAAAGTGGTAAGAACATATGCGTTTACCATAATAGATTTGTTGTGGATCCAAACCATCAAACTATTCTGTACCAATCACTTTTACCCAATCACTAAGTTCAGCCAAATACAATTTTGGATTTGGAAATCTATGTGAGATACTACCTATAAAAACATTTTAACAAATATAATCAATCATAGTAAGGTCCTAGTTAGTAGTTAGTAATTTTGTTAATTAACAAATTCACAAACCTTCAAAATTGCAGTTTTTCACTCAGCATTTGTACGCGGCACGACCCATTGTAAATTTGTATTATAAAAAGACACAATAAAAAATATTAAACACAGGACAGTAAACGTTAAACGATATTAAATAATATAAAATACTAGTCAATACTTCAATAGTCACAAGTCACTTACTCAGTTGCGTTGCATAGACAAGAATACAAGATTAGGTTTAAGCATGAACTAAGATAATATGGACTGGTAACGGTTGGGCTGGAGGATGGTAGCGGTGCGGTCAAGTTTTAATACGTGGTTTTCTAAGAGGGGGAATTTATCGGATTGGGGCGATCCTTGTGTTGTTTTTTGTAACTATCGTAGTATCGTAGGTATAATATGTATATCGTGGACCGTTGTTACTTGTTTTACAAAATATTTTTAAAATTTAAAGTAATTATACTTTATAGTAAATATATATTTCATATATTTCATATTCTTTATATTATGTTTCTCGTTTATTATACCTACTGGGCACTGCCTACTACAGTACTACCTAATAATTTTTATATATTAATTTTTTGCTTGTTGTCTGTTGATAGTGTAGTGTGTATTTTTTTAAACTTTCATCTATTCTATGATATAAATGTACCTACTAATATAGTATGTATATTACAGAGTCAGAGTGTATTAAATACCTATTCAATTTTTACAGCTGTGCAACTAATTCAATTCAGTTTTACCTACCAAATATTGAACATGAATATTTAACATATTGATTACAAAATAGTATTGAACTTTTATTTTTAATCCAAAATGTTAAAATGTAAGTTTTATGGATAGGTGTATTATAAAATTAATGTTTAACTAATTTTGATTTTTTTTTTAATAAACAACTTTTTTTTTTAAGCTCTCTGTTTTGGAGTGCTGTGTGTTGTCTCATCCTCATCGTAATGTAATAACTTATAATGTAAGTCATGATTTCACTTTTGTGTTCAGAACATGGGAATTCAGTTAAATGTCCACTTCCTACTAAAACATCATCAACACAATTTTCGAATACATCTTCACTGTTACAATGTTTTTCAAAAGAATCTTCAATCGCTAAAATCAGGTTGTAAAAGCCTTGGTTGGGATGTATTAAACCGCCTTTAGATTTCATATTGGTTAAAGTTGCCTGAGAAATTGTTGAAGAGTTTCCTGCTAAATATGTAAATATAATGTAAGTTTATTTATAGGTTAAGTAGGTTTTTGTACCTAGTTACTATTTTAAATTTAAATTAACATTATATCTAACCTTTAAGAATTGCCATTTTACAATTATTACATTTTGTATGATTTGACAATTTTCGACTAACATATCCACATATGTAATAAGTTATACACTCTTTTACTGATGATTTGCAGTAATCATGGTCCAAAATGTCATCAGCTTCCCACATACCAGTATTAACTATTTCATCAAGTCTAGAAGTCAAGTTTTGAAGTTTTTTGAATCTCAATGATTCATTTGCATTGAAAACTTCTTTGATGTCATTCAAAGAAATTTTGGGGGTTGCAGTTTCCAATATTGTACAGTTTCCAGATTTTGGAGGTTTTAAAATGGAGTAAGCTGATAATATTTTATAAACCTGTAAAAATGTTGGGGTTGAAGGATGGTCATTAGGACCCGTAGCTTGTCGAACAGAACCAAAAAATATCTATCAAAACAGAATAATAATTTTTTTTTTTTAATTATTGCTTAACATCTTAACATTGCAAATAGCTCAATACTTCTAATTTATCCTGATTCATTTTATTGGTCAAGACATAATGGAATCCGATATCTAACAAATATGTTGTTAAATCTATAGTTGATTGAATCGTAACTCGAAGTCCTTCAGCAGTTTGTTTAGTTAAGAAATCTGATTCATTTATTTTATTATTTAACATATTAGATTCCCATTGATCAATGAAGATCATAGCTTCTTCTAAAACCTGAGTTAATTGTATAAAGTTATTATAATTATTTATTTTTTATTTTTTTACTATTATTATTATTATTTTTATATGAGTATTATTACTTTAAAATCAGCAGAATTTCTCCTAATACCCTCCGCAGAAAATCGTCTATTTAATGAATCAAAAATATCATTAAATAACTTTGAAAACTTTTCAGTTTCTTGACTAAATTTTAATTTGTGTACATTTTCATGGTCCCTGTAATATTTCAAGCCTACTGACACAGAGTTACTAAAAATCTGAAATATTGGATAATTATCAAAAATTAAATTACATCTTATTTGCCTAATATGTATTTTTTTGTTTTAGATTGAAATTACTTGAGTGGCAAGCTTTACATTCATCTTGGAAAAGCTATCCAAAACTAAATGCCTGTTAGTTATTTTTGGGCAAACTCTTTTCGAAATTTGTTTCAAATCTTGTTCATGTAATTGTACATAATGGTCCCATTTAATGTAATTATGTTTATCACTTATCTAATTTTTATTATTAAATAATCATTAAAATAATTCGTAAGTTTTATAATAATATAATTAATTACTAGGGTGCGGATTTTTATGTAATAAAATAGTCAAAATATGTAAATATTTATGTTGTTATTTTTGCCAAAATATGTATTCAAAATCTTGGAATATTTAACAACAAAAAATTATTTTATTGATTTAATTAATTTTTAATCATCTAAAAAAAGTAATAAAGATAAAGAATTCTGTTACATAACATATTTTTTTTTGTACTTTAATTTATTCATCTTCATTGCAGTCGTCTTCGAAACAGTTTGAAACAATGTACATTTGGAGATTTTCAAATTTAAATGTGCGGCGGTTAGGTCTTAAAATTGATTTGTATGGTGCAGGTTCAATATCCATTGATCCATTGTTTTCATTTGTATTTAGAAGAATATTTCTAATAGTTTTGTAAACCAACATTTTTAGCTAGTACGTCACAACAGCATAACAATAGACTGAATAATACTAACACTAACCGATATGGTGGCATCAAATTTATGATGTCGATAAAGTCGATAGACGTCGATAAATGGTTATTTTTAACATTTCTGGAAATTTAAGAAGTACATCAAAAATCTTAATCAATATGTACGACGTCGATAAAGTCGATAGATGGTTAATTTAATAAGTATCTACATTTATAAAATATGAAATATTTGCAAAATATGTTCTTTTTAATAAAATATTTGGAAATATGTATTTACAACAAAATATGTGAAAATATGTAACATAAAAAATTGTCATTTTATTCAGGGTGTTATGTAACGTGCTTGTTTTTAATCAGGACAAAGATATCTGCATTCAATAAAAATATGTATTAACATAAAAATCCGCGCCCTATTAATTACCCTTAACATTTTGTTATTGTATAACATGTTTCGGACTGTTTTGATTAAGTGAGGTGCATCGGAGAAAAAATATATCTTACGATTTTCATTCATTGGGTGTACAATAAAATTTTTTAATTTTCCCATTTTACCAGAGACCCCAAATTCACTCCATAACCTTCTGTTTGTTGAACTTCCATCACTTACGACACCATCAATCTTTGCTCCTGCATTCTCAAGAAGAGTTATAGCTTTAACTACTAATTGAGAAAGTACAACTCCTAAAATTGACATGTAATTTTGTTATGACTGATGTATAATTGTTATTTTTATGTTTTAGTAACCTTTAACTGGTCCTTTTGACGCAAATACTGCAATTGGCTGAGTGATATTGGAACCCAAGCTTTGGAACATCATTACCAAACCGTGATCAGCTTTTTGCCCAGAATTTAAATTTGAATTGTCTTTACCGAAATCCTCTAATCCACAATAAGTCAACGTCTTCGTATCAACACTAATACTTTCACGTAAAAAAATTTCATCAAAAATGAGAACGCCGTGTTTTTCAGTATCACTTAAAAGACTCATTTTAGTTTTGAACAATTTGAAAAATTTTTCGTCAAAGCCACAATCTGATTTCACCATTGCTAAATAGTTGCGAATTGTGCGAGAACAAGGTAAGGGCAAGATACCTTGGTCTCGTAAAAAATTGTAAATTGATGATGACCTTTTAAGTAATAATTATGGGATAAACATTAATTGTATTATTAATTATTGGTATAATTTTAATATAATATGTTATAACTTATAACTTATAATAATACCTTATGTGAAGCAAAATACAAAGAAGTATCCAATTTTCAGAGTACCTTCTGTTAGTTGGCTTTACTAAACAACTGTTTAAAATCTCTCTGATTAAAGTTTGTTGTGATTCATTTATATTATTATTATTTAAAATGTCATTTAATGCATGAGTAGACAGCTTCTTCGTTTCAGATTGTAAGCCTACCAATTGAATCCTCATATTTTCTACTTTCTGTTTGTACCTTTATAGATTTAACATTTTTTAGAAGTTCAAATTACGATGTTTGCGTGTATAGAAATGTTACCTTAAATTGGATTTTTGTATATTATGTTTAGCCTTTTTTAAAATCATCAATGTTTTTTTACGATTTGGGGTTAATGTGCTACTAATTCGCTGTACTCTATTTTTTATAGTTTGTTCACGTTTTTTACTCGGAAAGCTGTACTTAATCGTTCACACCAAGTACACCTTTTCACATTGGGCTTATGTAATAAATATGAACATTTCTCATGTCTCCAAATATCGTTTTTTATTTTTAATGCCATGTTTTACTAAAATACCTAAAGAAAAAAAATAAGATTTTTATTCAATCAAATATTGTTTTAAATCTTAGTTCTTCCTCTTCAAACCAACACATTTTATACCTTTATAATTCAATGCACTCGGGCCACCTGTACATACACGTTTTACATCTAATAAATGTATTAATTTTTCTATTTCCAGGTTTGAAAACGTCAATACCTTAGGCAATAGCAAATCTTCTTCACTGAATATATTGTCTAATATATAGCATCTTACACGTTGATCTTTGGTTATGACAATTTGTTTCTCAACAACAACTTTTTCATAAGTATTCATCATATCAAGTTTGGTGTAAAAAAATATCAGAACTTCAGTATTAATATAATGGTACCAACCATTTGGCAGCATTATATTATTTTTAATATTTTCCAAAAAAGAACAATCAATTGTTTTATCCAAAACCTATTATCAAAATATATGAACATTGTATATTTATATTATTTAGTTCAAATTGAAGTAACTGTTTAAACGTTTTTTAATTGTTAAAAGTAAATAACCTTTTATGTAATTACTTACCTCATGACCAGTTATATTCATATTATTCAATGCCGGGTGGTTTTGAACTGGCCATGACAATTGTCTCCTACATTTAACAATTTTTTGAGGACTTTCTTCAATAACTCTTTTTGTAGATTGCTATTAAATTATATTTTTGGTTGGTTATCAGTTTTAACATATTTATTGTTAACTACCAAAATGTACTATATTTATTTTACCTCAGCATTAACAATTCCATGTGCAACCGTATCAAAAATTTGAGGAACTGCACCTTTCGCTAAACTAGGTTTCACTTTTTGAGGAAAGTCTAAACCCTAAATTATGTTAGTATTTTTTTTTTAGTTGGTAATTATTTATTTATTTCTTATGTATGTCCTTCAAAGTTTAAATAACAGTTAAGAGGATGACTTTCACCTCAACTATTACTAAAATTCAAGGCTGGGCATTAACGAGTTAATAAGTTAAAAGTTAAGTTAAAAGTTAAGTTAATTTTAACTTATTAACTTAACTTGCTAGTTCGCTGTTTTAATTAACTTAACTTTAACTTAACTCATTAGGATATCCGTTAACTTAAAATCAACTTGTATTATTTTTAAAATTCCCAATTAAGTTAATTTTGAATTTTCGTCGTTTTAATTAATTTAATTCGTAGAATATTATAAAATATTATTAGAAAAAAAGATTTAATGAAAAACAAAATAATAAATAATAATAGTATATAACAATGTGACATTTAAACCATTGTAGCCCCTATGACCGTAATATAAGATTTATCTATAGCTATACGAGCCCACGAAGTCACGTTTAATAGCGTAATAATAGCGGGCTTAATGGCATATTATTATTTGCCATTAGGTCTCATTAGTTATTTCTTATTATTTAATATTTTATAATTTGTACGATTGTCGGTTATCATGAATTGGGACTATTTCTATTTATTTGTTTATTATATAAATTTATATTTAACATTTAATATGTTATAATAATAATTGTACTACAAAAATACCTACCTACCTATAGTGGTCGTGGTGTAATATACATTTATACATTCTTAGTTCATAGTTTTCATTCCTCAGTCCCTCACTAGTTTGATCAGTCGCTTACACTGCTGCAGTTTGTCAGTAATAAGTAATAACTAATACGTTTTCAGTGTTTTCACTATTAGTTTAATTATTTATTGCGTATTTTGTACCTACGTATTGTAACTTGGACTGGACATAAACATGAATAATAATAACTATCCAAGTAAGTAATATTTTTATTTAATCCAAATTACATATTATAATATATATAACATATATTATATATTATTTATATATTATTATTATATGTATTCATATTATACTGTATTGTATATAGTAATAAACATGTACCTATAGAATATACTATATAGATTATATGGGTAGGTATTAAAAACACGAAACACTTTATTAAACCAATTAATTGTTAGTATAATATACAAATTTGAAATTTTCAATATTTTTATTTATTTTCAATATATTTTTATTTATTGTAACTACATTTTTTTTCTAATTTAAAAAAATAAATATTTTTCTCAGTTTTTAGTGCACCAGAACACCAAGAAGTGAATAGCTCCAATGATCAACCAAAATGGCCAGCAATGATTTCTTATTTTGAAGAACTTAAATCAAGCGGTTTAAATGCAAACAAAAATAATTTGATTTTTAAGTGCATTTTATGTCTTCCAAAAGAAAAACACATTTCGACTTCAAAATTATCAAATTCAAATCTTAGAACACATATCAAAGTATGTACCTATCTGTATTTATAATTTATAAGTGTGGTTTATATTTTAAGTTGACGGTGATGTCTGATTTCTTAAATATATAGGTGTAAACTATAATAAAAATAATTGCCATTGTTTTATAAGTAATTTTATAACTATTAATCATATAATTTGTTTTAGTTAAATTTTTATGGAATAATAGTTATTATATTTTAATGCTAATATTTTTAAATCATTTTTATTGATTGTTGTTGTTTATTATTAAAAATAAACAAGTTTTAGTATACTCTCATGCAAAATATTAAATATTTTATTTATACTTTTTTTCAGATTACGCATCCAAATGATTTGGCAGAATTCAACAATTGTATGAAAAAAAGACCAACAAATTCTACAACAACGTCTCATAAGCAACTTAAATTAAGCGAGGTTGGTAAAGTTTACCCAATCAAAAAGTTGAATCAAGCTGAATTTGATAAGGCTAATTTAAGACTTATAATTGATACGGTGTCACCCTTTTCATTTATCGAGCATCCAGCGTTTGTAAATTATTGTAAGGTTACGTCAAATAAGGTTCCTGCATCACGTAGAAGTTTAATGCGTGATGTTGAATATTTGTATAATAAAATGATACACGAAATGATCAGTGAATTAGATACAGTTAAATATGTATGTATTACAGCAGACTGCTGGAGCATATTCCACAAGTAAATATTTTGGACATTTTGGTTCAGTTAAGTTTTTCTATTTCATATTATATTAAATTTTAATCTTTTATTATTTTAGATCATACATAGGTTTTACTATCCATTGGATTAATCCTGAAACGCTTGAAAGATGTTCTAAAGGACTCGCTTGCAGACGAATGATAGGAAGACACACTTACGATAATATTGCCGAATCAATAGTCAAAGTACTCGATGAATTTAAAATTCAGAATAAAACAACATTAATAGTCACTGACAATGCAGCAAATTTTGTCAAAACTTTTAGGTAATATTATCCTTTTCTTAATTATATGTTAATAGTTACCAATTAAACTTCATTATGAGCTCAATAAACAATGTTTAATTCATATTTTAGTTAATAAATCACTTAAAAATATTGAATATTTTTATTTATGCTAGAGTCACTCATTTATAGATATTGACGATTGTTTGAAACAATTGTATACCTACAGTTTTTATACTATTCAATATGTACTATAATACTTGTATAGTTTTATATCTATACAATAAGTAGGTATTTAAAAATCATATTCAAGTGCTTTTTTTTTTAATATTTTAGTATTTATATTCCTATAAAAAAGTTTTTCTTATAACTCAGAATAATAATTTATAAATTATGAGTAAAAAATTGTCAGTTTATACTCAAAAAAAAAATTATAACTTCTACATCCACGCTTTTTTTCAATGATTCATTAATAGCAGAGACATCTACATTTTATATTCTATAATATTTAAATAATAAACAATTAATATAATATAAAATAGTTACTGCAGCTTTTTATTGAATACTTATTATAGTTATACTAATTATACTTATAAGTTATAACTTATAAATTAAAACATTACTTTTTTTGGTAAATTTAAACAAAAAATACATTTTTTTTTATTTTATAGAATATATAGTAATGATAATGATCTAAATGAATGCATTGGTGTATCTGAGGTATCTGAAGAAAATGAAGTCTCTATAGAAATCACAAACACTCTGGAAGGTGAACCATCTAATGTGGATAACCTAAGTATATCATTACCCCCTCACCAACGGTGTGCAGCACACACAATGAACCTTATTGCTTCAGTTGACATTAAAGATGCGGAAAAAGACCTTGCATATAAAACCATCAGCCATAAAGTATTTAAAAAGTGCCAAGCTATATTTAATAAACAGAATCAATCTACATTAAGTGCAGATATCATTAAAAATCATATTGGTCGATATCTTATTACACCTAATGCCACAAGGTATTACCTAATTATTTTAAATAATATTATGCATTGAAAGAAAAATGTCTTATAATATCTTATGTTTAGGTGGAATTCATATTATGATGCGATGAAATGCATTCTTGAAAATATTGAAAAGATTGAAGATGTGTGTAATGATTTACAACTAACTACCATTTCAGGACCTCGTGAAATCTCATTTTTACAAGAATATTGCAATGTAAATTTTATATATAAATATGCATATTTAATATTTTTATAATATAATCTAATAGTTGTCTTATACTGTTTTTTAGGTCATGAAACCTATATCTAGAGCATTGGATATATTGCAGGGTGATAAAAACGTATCTTTGGGATATTTGCTCCCTACTATTAATGCAGTACATAAATCATTAAACGATATGAAGAATATAGTTTTCTGTAGACCATTAATTATTGCACTTAAAAGAGGATTAAATAAAAGGTAATATTTCTGATTGAATTGATGAATTATTTCTAATAAAAATATAATTTGTATTTTGGCCAAATGATTTTTAAGAAATTAAATCTTAAATTAGTTATTTAATATCTGAATAAAAATATGTATAACTTAATTATTAAAAAAAAAAAAAATCATCTGATCAAAAATAAATTATGTATTGTTGTATAAAATATAAATTTTATATAAAACTAAAATACTGAATATGTTAAACATGATAAAAATAAAAAACAAATTAACTGTAAAGATTATAAATATCATAATCGGTTATATTTTGTTTTATTCCTTATTAAACTCAAATAATGTTATGAACATTTTTTTATTATTAGATTCACAAGATATATGGAGTCAAATATGTGCCAAGTGGCTGCCTGTTTGATACCAAAATTCAAACTCAATTGGGCTGTAGAAGATGATCGAAACAACATAAAAAATTCACTTATAGAAACATTGGAAACCATAATAGATAACGCATCATTAACAAATTCCCAAGATCTACAATCTACATCTAACACAACATCTACTGAACATCATAATAGTGACATTGAGGATGATTTTTTTAATTTTGAGGAAAATAATTCAATAATTTCAAATATTGATTATAAACTTCTTGTTGACAATTATTTATCAAATAAAAATATTAAATCTCCTTCAGAGTTACCAAATCCCCTTAAAGAATTATACATCAAGTATAACACTGCCGTTCCTTCATCTGCTCATGTTGAGCGGCTCTTTAGTGCTGGAGGACAGTTATTAAACAAAAGGAGGGGATCAATGGCCGATCACAATTTTGAAATGACACTATTATTAAAATTCAATAAATATTTTGAATAACCTTGCTGTAAAATACAAATGATTTTTTTTATTTATATATACATATATATAATATATTATATAAATGTAATATTTATAAGTTAATAAGTAAAAATATACGAGTAGTAATTTTTTCTATACCTAATTTTTAAACATTTGAGTTATTTATTTTTGAATTGTAAATGTTAAACAGTGAAATATAGTTATAAAATTACACAGGTGGTACAGCCCTATAACAGGTTTTAAATTATATACATAATAATATATTATTATGCATCTTTTATCATAAGTATATGCTATATTAGTATATTACTATATTCAAGTGATTATCACTTATTAGTTACCTTTTCGATGAATTTTTTTTTTTTTATATTAACTTAACTTATTAATTGAAGTTAAGTTAAGTTAACAATATTTGTTAACTTAATTTAAACTTAATTGATTTATTAAAAAAGTCTATTAACTTAACTTTTAACTTAATTGAAAAAAAAAAAATTAACTTAACTTAACTGAGTTAAAAAATTTCATTAACTTGCCCAGCCTTGCTAAAATTAGAGATGATAATATGTTTAAGGGTATGACAAATTGATTTTATATTTTCAAAATTTTATGTTTTCAAAATAAACAAAAAAATTGTGTAAATTTAAATAATGTTTAATTTGTTTTGAGACAATATTTAGACAAACCGACTATGTTATACCTTCAAAAATATTATTCTCTATCGTTTTTGTAATAGGTGATTTTACTCTAACATTGCTTAAAAACATAAAAAAAAATGATTCTGCAAAATTGGGTTTTGCTTATGTTGCACGTGGGCCAGAGAGAGAAAACAAAATTGCGCTGACATCCTCTTAAATTTTACCAACTATGTTTTTAAAATATTGTTTATTTTAAAATTTAATTAATATTTACTCTAATTATAATATGTACAATACCTCAACACCAGCATAAGTTTTTACTATATCTTTAGGGAGAAAATGTTTTTCACAAATAAACTTAATTTTGGTATCGCATCCATTAATTGATTTAATAATTTCTGTCCAAGAAGAAAACGATGCCTTAGGAATACTAAAAAAGCTGCATTCCCCATCAAAACTTTTGCAACTAATTATACAACACTTTCTGGACATTTTTAAAAATGAATACCTTATACTACTAACTACTAAGAGGCAAGTGTATACTAATAAGTAATAAGAACAAAATATAAGTCTTTCAAAATGTGTTTTATTATAATTTCATGACAAGTTTAATACAGTTTTTAACAAGTTATTTGCAATATTCTACATGTTCAGTCATGTTATTTGAAACTTATTTTTGTTTTTGTCCAACAGATGTCGCTTCAGCTTCACAATTTCTCCCACCACAAAAAGTCCGTATTAAAACCTGACCGCATATTTTACCGTCGTTTCCAGTCCATATTATCTTAGTTCATGGGTTTAAGTGCGTGAGTGCGTCCATCAGTATCAGTCCATGATTACATGAAATATCTTATCTACCATCAACATTAAATATTTATTTCAAGGAGGTCAAACAATCAAACTCCTTGATAACGATACTAGTGAACCTAGGTTTTGATGCGGTAAATATTTTACGATGTCCCATCCGCGCCTATAGAGTTACCAGCCTCTGGTGCAGCCTGCAGCCTCCTATATGCTTGTTTGTGTAATACATTTAAAACTATTATTTTAATAACGTGGAAAATAACGCGTTAGTACTTTACTTCAATTTTGTTACAGTTGCCTTACTTTAAGTAAAATGTAATGAAATTACTGCTGCTTTACTGTAAAAGTAATTGCGTTATGTTACTACCCTATGCAGTACACTACTATGTATTGTTACCTACATATTAAATTTAGGCAAACAATAACTATATTTCGTTACCAATACGCTCAACAGTGTAAAGGATTACGCATTCATTACACGAGTAGATAATCATTTCATGTATAAGTGCATAATTATAATCCGAGACAGGAACCACTCTCCGTGAAATGTGGTCTCGTAGATACAGCCTCGCCCTAAAGTTGTTTTTCTGAAAGAATAACCGCTTTTCGAAAATGCAACAACTACCTCGAGGTCCTCGATCAAATCAAAGGAGCCGACATCATATATATATATATACAGGCCAGGAGAACAGCACGATCAGATATACCAGAGCCACCAAGACCGGAGCCACTTCACGCAACCAACCATTATATACTACTACGACGAGCTTATACACCGCTACCACGAGATTATACACATTTATATTATAATAAAACTGGATTTCACATAATTGTTCTAAAAATGTCTACTATTTTATTACAAAGCATCATCTTTCGGGAATCAGCACGTACAACAGTATAATAATAAATAATAAGTAAATTGCCATATACTGTTAACTATTCTACTAAATAAATCAACGTACAATTATAATTAATCACTCAGTATATTAAAGTCTCAAACGCAGCCCGGGTCCTCACACACACCGTGCGGACCTCCGCTCACTAGCGCTAACTAGTCATAACTGACTTAGTATGGGAGAGTCACACACACCGTTATCGGTGACTCCCACCCATGCCCGGTCGTCCTGACCTTCCTGTTGTCCTCAACAGCAGGATACATACTGAGGCATTACATTTAGTGAAAATCAACAACAAATTACAAGATTCACAATACTTGAACTTAAAACTAACAATGCTGTCAGTCTTAGACAACAATTTTGCATAATAATTATGACTTAGAAAATTACAATTCAACAAAATGTCTCAGGCTTAGACAACAAAATTACATATTAATAATTATAACTTAGAAAATTACAATTCAACAAAATGTCTCAGTCTTAGACGACAATTTACATGATAATAATTATAAACTTACATAATTTACAATTATTCAACAGAGTAGTCAGCATGCCACACAGGTGGCCTTCTCACTCTACAGGACCTTCTTTGAACTGTTTCAGACATCTCTTCAGCTTCCTTTATTCCAACAGTCTCACTACAACCCGACTTCCCAATCGTTTCTTCACCATCATCCTCCATTTGCTCATCTTCTTTATATATCCGCCATGATTTTAACTGGGTCACATGTGCAGTCGTTGCAAATCTGCTGTTTTTAGTTTGGTCCAGTTCTGCAACACGGTAGACATCTGCCGGTAGCACTTCGATGATAACCAGCGGTCCCCTATAGCGGTCTTGCAACTTTTTGGACTCTCCAGTAACCGTGGGAACACTTTTCATGACCACTACCTCTCCGTTTGTATAATGGGTGTTGTCGTGCCTGCGCCTATCATACATGGCCTTGTCTTTGTCCTTCTTCTCTAGTCGTTCACGGACCCCTTCAGGAGGCTCCCAATCATCCACAGTCTTCGACAATTCCCTCAGAACACCTTGGTGAAACCGAGGACGATAGCCGTGGAGCATCTCGAACGGTGTCCTCGTACTAACCTTACTTTCACTATTGCTGATAGAGTTCTGCACCTCAGTCAGAATCTCGTCCCAATCCTTGCCATCTTCTGAGCACGTCATTAGCGACCGGTCCGTGTAAACCACAATTTGCAATCCCAAAAGGAATTGACGTAATTTACTCATCGCCCACACCACGCACATCAATTCCAATTTGCTGGAATGGTATTTGGATTCACAATCACTGGTTTTCTTACTTACACAATAAACCAACTTAAGCGAATCACCAATCTTCTTGGACTGCAACAGCATAGCGCCAAGTCCCAACGAACTGTTATCAGTATGCAGTTCAGTAACTTCCACATTCGGATCAAACATGGTAAGAACCGGCGGCTTCGTCAACCGGTCCTTTAGCACACGGAAAGCACAATCCTGCTTGTCGCTCCACAAGAAATCCACATTCTTCTTGGTCAACCACGTAAGTGGTTCTGCTATGGTCGCGTATCCTTCCACGAACCTACGGAAGAAGCCGGTAGGCCCCAAAAACCGTTTTAACGACGTCACGTCGACCGGAGTAGGGAAGTCCGATATTGCCCGTGTTTTCAGTTCACCTGGCTGTATCAAACTACCGCCAATAATAAACCCCAGAAATTCAATCTACTTAGCACCTAAGGCACACTTCGATGGTTTGAGAGTCAGACACGCACTCCTCAACCGATCAAACACTAACCTCAGCTTGGACAACATATCGTCCCAGTCAACAGCGTCAATAACCATATCGTACAAATAGTTCTATTTCGGCCCTGTCAGCCGCCGTCGTTTTATAGTGCTTGCACATAACCGGTTTGCTACCCGTTACCTCTGAAATATCCATCGATGTCAAAGGAGTGCAGCCAAGTTCCTCCAAGCTAGTGGCAAAACAATCCCGATATTCATTGATCAAGTCGGACAGACTCGACCTTTGCGCAGCACTCGCATCTCCGTCCACAAACTTAAATTCACTCAAGTTAAGTGGCGCACTCTCTAGTTCGCTCTCCGTGCTCACCACACGAAAACTGTGAAATTCGTTACCCAACGTAACAACGGTAGCGTCAACTAGTTTGTTCACAACATTTGCTTCCGCGAGTACTAATTGACTTCCAGATTTATAGTACGATACTGCAGGTGAACCTAACCAGTTCCTTTCTATAATGGCATCGGGCAGTGGCGGTTCTGGTAGTATTTTTCCGGTGAGGCAACCTATGTATCACCCCCCCCCCATACAAAATTAGAATTCACAATAAATGTAATATAAAAACATAAAAATAATTACAATTGTATGAATGCTAATAATATACTTGTTTCGTATAGTAAATAATATAGTAAGTGATAGATAGGTAATAAACAGAGCATTTCAAAATTTGGTAGTTCTGAAAAGGACCTTTTGAGTAGGCCAACAAAACATTTTTTGTATATAATGACTCCCACATAACCAAGAGTGTTGTTGATATAAATTTGGATTAAATGACCTACAGAATACCTTACTTAGATTCTTGTCAGGAGCCAAAGCTTACAAAATCGGAATAGGCTTACCCACTTTTAGCAAATCATTTTTATTATCAGAATGCCATCGTCGAAACGGGGTCTCCAACAACATAA